AATTAGGTGGGGGAGGGATTGGGCAGGGAGAAAAGTACAACAATAAATGAATGGAAACCCTATGTCTTTGTAAACTTTCATTAAAATTAACAAAAAGAAATAAAGTAAAGAACAAGAATCATATGAAGAAGAAAAAAGTTATATTCAAAGTCACAGTTTTCATCTGCTTCTTTGATAGCAAGTGTGGTACACAGAGAAACTAGAAAACTCAGTCAATGTATCTCATTGACACTGAGGAACTCTGGTCCAGTTCTGAGCATCTGCAGGGGAACCAGGGTTCAACATGCTTCATCAATACTCTCACTCTGACTGTTCATGCTTACTAAAGGCTGGGAATCAGCATTTTAAACAATAACTTTCTTTCTAATAGAGAAAGGTTCATTTCTTGCATGCAGATTTGTATTAACTGAGAGATCAGAAACAATCTCAAAATTTTATGTGGCTCTGTGACTCTTGTCATTTTACACAAGCACAGTTGAGTCTCAGCCTCTCAAAGGAGCTTCCTGACAACGTTCTGCTCTGTATAACAAAGGCCTCATAAAATTCAACCAGCTTTAACAAGAAAGAAAAACGTAACCCACTCCTGCTTCTCAAGACATCCTTTCCCATTCTGCCCCCTTCTCCTGTTCATTCGTCACTGCCCACAACCACCCCTCCTGCTACTGGTGAACATGCTATCATTTCCCTGAGCTCTCGTTCAGCTTCCATCATTTCCCTCCCCTCTTCATCTTCAATGTCTTGTGTTCTGATCCCCTTCATTCTCTCTGTCTCATTAGGTTCCCAGCAACTAAAGCTTTCAGGGCTCAGGTGGCATTGACATTCAATAAAGGGATGCAAGCGACAATGGAAGCCCTCTACGTGTGGTGCTGTGGTGTGTTCACAGGTTACTTCTGACCCATAGAAGCCCAGTGTACAATAAAGCAGATCACTACCCAGCACTGTACACCATCCTTAGAATCCTTGCCATCTTCAAGCCCACTGCCACAGCCACTGTGCTAATTCATCACACTGACGTCTTCCTCTTTTCACCAACTCTCAACCTTGCTTGATGTCCTCCAGGGACTGAAGCCTCCTAACAACTTTTTTGAAGCACATGATACAAAGCCTCACCATTGTCACTTCTAAGCTCATTCTGGATATCCTTTATCCCAAACTGATACATTGATTCTTTTAGAGCCCATTGACATTTAACATTGTTTTCCAACATATTATTTCAAAGGCCTCAATTCTCCTTTCTTCTTCCTATTCATTGTCCACATGTCTCATGTATATGAGAAGAATGAAATGACCATGCTTGGCTCAGGCTCACTGTGGCCTGGAAGCTACATCTTTGTTTTTTAATACTTTAAAGAGGTTTTTTACAGACCTTATGCCCAGTGAAACACATTGTTTCTCATTTCTTGACTGCTATTTTCATGAATTGTAGGTCCCAGTGAAGTGAAATTCTTAGGAACTTCATTCTTTTCCACGGTTATCTTGATGTTGCTTCTTGGTCTATCTGTGGGGATTTTTGCTTTTTCTAATTTTACAGTATATATTGTCTATCTATATTGAAGGCTGTAGTAATTGATCACTTAAATGTAGTGCAGTGATTTCTAGAGATGTTATTTTACTTCCTATAGATCACTACATTTCTCGGCCCAGGAATGAATCACTGTTGCCTAGTCAATTCCAGCTATAACTATACTAGGGTCTCACTAGCTCATTGATAAAGGGCATAGCTGACCTTTCACTGAGTTTCAAGTTTATGAATTGCACAGGAAGAGAATGTCCAGATGGTGGATTTGAACCTTAAGCTTAGATACATAACTCTGCAGGAACCAGGCCACTAATGCCCCCTTACATAAGAACAGAAGGGCTTAAAGGAAGTCTGGCCGAAGCAGTGTACTGCGTGCAGAGTCACTCATTGCCTGCTAGCAAACCACCTGACAGGCAGACTAAGGAACTTGATTTAAACTTCAAAGCCTTCAATCTTCCAGGGAGAAGAAGGTTAATTCTTGGTTTTGTTTTTAATTCTACAAGCAAGGAGGTGAGGAGGGAGGTGCTGAGTGATGAAGAAGTACATACCAGCACTTGGGTACAAGTGTTGATCTAACAAGCCTGTGTGTGTACGTGTGTGCGTGTGTACATGCATGTGTGGGTATGTGTATCTGCTTGCACGTCTCTAAGGATGTGGGTTAGTTTCCTTCTGAATAAATGCATCTAATTGTTAGAATACACAGGGCGCTCTGGTGGCCTAGTGGTAAGAAGCTACACTGCAATTCCAAAGACACATTGTTTGAATCTACCAGCTGCTCTGCAGGAGAAAGATGGGCAATCTCCTTCTTCACGATTTACTGCTTCTCAAAACTCACTGTAGGGTCAGCCCTGGGTCAGTTCTGACTCCATGGCACACAACAAAAACAACAAACAACATTAGTACACACAGGAGATTTCCGATTCCACAGTGTTTCCCCAAATTCCACAATACTGTCTTTATATCTCTGAAAGTAACAATCAGTGCAGACAGAATTGAAGATGGTTTTGAATTTCCATTTCATCCACCAGTGTTTTTTATACACCTTACTGGTAGAGAAATAACTTACAAGGGACCTTACCCTTGTTAGTCTAATTAGTATAAAAAGCCTTGAGAAGAATTTCCAGTTGGCATTATTACTACATTCAACTAGCCTTCTGAGAGAGTTCTCTTACAATATGTGGAAATGGATTGTCCACCCTCACAAAATTAGTTACAAAACAACTGGCACGTGAAATAAGGGGCCAGTCATCCTGAATGTAAAACATCTGTGCTCCTGCAAGGAGGTGGGTCTCACCACAAATCACCTCACTCGTAGCAGTTAATTTCTGCAATTAAGAGCAGAGGGGCCCTCCCTGTGATGACTCTGACTTTAGGGGGGACAAGAAATGATTCTGTCAGTGAATATGTGCTTGGCTACATGCTCCAGTGAAGCCTGCAGAAGACAGACATCAAGAACTCAGAAGGCTGGCAGTCTGTGCATTTCCATTAAGAAAATGCAGTGGCTTCTGGATGGATGGGGAGGGATGAGCTATGGAAGAACTGGTGGGAGTCACATAAATCTGACTTCTGAATACAGATGAAGTCTCACTGGAAACGTCTATGCAAGAGGTTAAAGTGAAAACCCTGCTGATCGATACGTTTGACACAAGGGCAGTAGTTGTTCCTTAAATATCCTTGGATCTATTCCGTCTTGCTCTAAGTGTTGTTAGGGCTGAGTCTGGGGAACAGGGGTAAGGGGGCCTGAACTAGCTTTACCAGACATTGATTCATCATTTCCTGCATTATGCCAACTGACTTGATTTGTTTTTCTAACTTTGGACATTCTGAGTCTTGTGAAGTCCTGATAGTACAAGAATTGCGCACACACCTTCTTGCTTGAGTAACTACCATATTGCATATAATTGGACATGTAAAAAATAGAAAATAATTAAATGATTCTCTGGCAGCATTTTGAGAGTTCTTAGGCCACACATGAATCAGTCTCATACAATGTGATCTATGAGGATAATGACATCAGCATTACCAGGAGGTCTTGAGGACACAGATTTCTGTTAGGCCCCAGGTTTCCGATTCTTTACGTGTTCAGGGCCGGCCAGGTTTCTGATTCTATATGTCAGGGCTCACCAGGTTTCTGATATTTGTGCAGGAGTTGGATATTTGTATTCTAAAAATGGGGTTGATGCTGTTAGCACAGGAATTACACATTAAGACCCACCATGCATGAAAATATTATTGGTATTTCATGTCCCTGGGTAGTAAAAATACTTAATGACCTTGGCTCAGAGGCACCTTGGAAGAAAAGTGTGACAAGTTACAGCTCAACTGAAAACCCTGCGGAGCACAAAGGGCCCATCATGAGTTGGAACTGATTGGTTGCCAACTAGTTTTATTGGCACATGGAAGAAAAGAGGGATTATTTCCAGGTTGAAGAGATAGGGAAGGTGCGTGGTAGTGGTTGTATTGGAGGTGGGTGGCTGGCTGACCTCCTCTACAGAAAAGTGAACCAAGAATCTCTGCCATCATCTCTTCATTATCATCAATCAATATTTACTGAGTTTGCTCATACCCGAGCCCGGTGTTCTCCCAGTCTGTTCCAATTTTCTCCCTCACTTCCCTTTCTCTCCTTGTCTTGTTCTCAGGTTTATTGCTTTTTTTTTGGTTGGTTTGTTTCTGTCTGGCTGTTGACCGTGAATGCTGTCCTGTCCACATTCCTCACAGCTTGGCTTCTACAGAAATGACATACAATTGGAGATGCCCATACTCTGTGGTTTTCATTCACAGGCAGAAACGCACTAATAGGAAACAAAGAATGTATTCCACAGTGAAGCCCAGGCCACTGTGCTCTAGGAATGCCAGACAATATCTGAAATGAATGTACAGATTCCTGTATAAGAACTTAAGTCTCTGGGTGGTGCAAACAGTCACTAGGCTATTAACCAAAAGGCCAAAGGTTTGAGTTCACCTAGAAGCACCTTGGCAAAAAGGTCTGGTCATAGTCATCACAAACCCTGTGGAGAACAACTCTTCTCCAGCTCACATAGGGTCATCATGGGTTGGAATGGACGAGACAGCAACTAGAGCTGATGTGGCGTTGTTGTGCACCCCATGTCAGAACTGACCCCTAGCTGACCCTCTAGCAGGTTTTCAGAGGCAGGAAAGATTTCATGTTCTTCTCCCCCAAAAACTGTTGGTAGATCAAAATCACATACCTTTTCTTTGGCAGTGGAATTCCTTGCCACTGAGCCACCAGCTTAGTAGCTCCATGTAGCTGATGTGGTAGGAAATTAAATTAGAAAGTGAAGTGAGGGAGGAGAATGCCTTCCTTCTCAGTGAATAACTAATGTTTACAATTTGCTTTGGAAGAGAAAATGCCAATATTCCCTGGCATCTGGCAAACCTCTTGTATTAGGATTTGATGGGGCGGGAGCAGGGTGATCCTAAAGACTGTACCAGGAAACCTCTCCATCTCCATCCAGCTTACCTCATCAAGACATCTCTCATATTGTTCCCTTTGATTTTCATTTTCCAAAGCCAATGCTGAATTCTCTGCCTGCAGTAAGATACAAAAATAATACAAATAAATCAATGAAATGCTGTGTGATGTGACAACTCATTCAACACAGTTACTAAGTATATCTCCTCAAGATCCAAACCAATCTTTTAGAAGTACCTTTGATAAGTTTGCTCCAAGTACTATTATAGATAACTCAGGAATGACTTCTGTCATATCAAACTGTTCACACACAGAGAAAGAAAACTTAAAAAAAACCAAAACTTGATATTCAGATCAGGTAGAAAAACGAAATCATCTTTTGATGTGAGAGTGTTCTATAAAAAGATTACAGTGTTTATTTAATACTGGTGCTTCTTAGCTGGTGCATTAATTCTTCATGCATGCTTGCAATTGGGTCCTTGCTATATTCTGAGGGCTGTGCTGAAGGTTATACAAAAAGTACACACGTGGTTGCTACCATAAAGAAGAGTGGAGGTAAATGGATTAATTCCTCATATTGAACGTTATAATGTAATAAGACTGTAATAAAAATAATCAGCCAATTTATGATAAGGTGGGAAAAATATGTGTTGGAGAGATGACTTTTGGCCCCAATTAATAAACAAGCATTCAAAACAACAAAAATCCTCCCTGAAATAAGAAATGTGTAGCTTTGGATAAAACAATAAGGAAGTAATCGTTGGCTTAACTTATCTATTAGAACTAAATGTTCCAGCCTTCCCTGCTGGAAGTTGGAAACTGTCAAATGACATGATATATATATCATATATATATTATTATCATTATATATATCTATATCTATCTATCTATCTATCTATCTATCTATCTATCTATCTATCTATCTATCTATCTATCTCATGTCAGAAACCAGCCACTACTCAACTGCAAAGTAAAACTGGCATTCAGCAACTGGAAGGCAGTTTGGCACTTCCTCAAAAAGCTGAACACAGAAATTCCATATGACCCAGCTATTCCACTACTTGGAATATACCCTGAGAAAATGAGAACTGAGGCACAAACTGAGATTTGTACATCAGTGTTCATAGCAGCATCATCCACCATCACAAGAACAAGGAAACAGCCCAAATGTCCAATCACAAAGACTGGATTGAGAAATTATGGTACATTTACACAGTGGGATACTATGCAGCACACAGAAGCAATGATTTTGTAAATTATTATCTAACTTGGATGGGACTGGAGAGCATTATGCTAAGTGAACTAACTCAGTCCTGCAAGGACAAATATTGTATGAACCATTATTGTAGAATGAGTATAAAGATCCAAATGAGGTAGGGGAAGGTGGAAGCAGAGGCATGAGAATGTGCAGGGGGAGGGGGATTAATCATCAGGTTGTACAATTTGATGGATGAGGGTGAGGAATATTGGAAGAATCTGCTCTTGAAATTAATGTATTCTGATTTTGTAAATGAACAGTATAAAAAAGTCAACTTGAGGAGGGGGAAGGGAGGGAAAAATACATAACAATGAATGAATGAAAATCAAACTTTTCTGAAAACTTTTATTAAAATCACAATTTAAAAAATTATTTTTTTAAAAAAAGAAATTGAGTAGAAGAGATGTGGAAGACAGAGGACAGTGTGGGAGGCATTGTCCACATGGCAAAAAGGTAAGAGGAAAGTCCAGGTCCCAGGAGTTACAAAGCACTTCCTCCCAGGCTGGCCCTGCGGCAATCCTGGCTACTCTTCCAGAATGCCACCTTCCCAACTTTCTCAATACCCGTCAGTTCAGCTAAAGCAGAAAGGTCAGGATAACAGTATTTCTTAAAAATCATGCCTTGGCCCAAATGAAAGAAAATAGAACTTGTTTATAATTGCTTTTCTAAATCATCATCACGTTTCCTTAAATGATTCACTTAACAGCTGTGGTGCCCTCCTGACCACTTGGGCTGTCAACCAAAAGCTTCCAACGAAGCTCCCTAGCAAAAGTCAGAGGTCACAGAAACACACCCTACTTGCACTGTCACTGTCATTGCTAGCTGCCTTGCAGTCAGCCCCTAGATTGTAGAAACACATTCACATGGGCATCAAACACTGTCCAGTCCTCAGGCATCCCCTGTAGTGGGTGCGGATCACACGTTGTGACACATAAGGTTCTTACTGGCTTGCTTCCGGAAGGAAACCTCTCTGCCTTCTCCTTAGTCTGTCTTAGTCTTGAAGCTCTGTTGAAGACTTCTCCACATCCCAGCAACCTTCAAGCTTCTAAAGACAGGTAGGTGGTAGGGAGAACACAGGTACATGCTCTCAGAAGTGAACCCAGGCCTCCTGCTTGAAAGGCATGGAGCCTAACACTGAATCATCAACACCTCTAATCTGTCTGAAGACACCATGAGAAGAAGAGAGCAGTGAGGTGGGTAAGTGTGCCAGCCATCAGGCCATCCAGGCATGGACCATCTAACCTGGTTGAGTGGTGTCAAGTCTGAGGACAAAGCAATGACTGGGTCCTGCTATTGGGCCTTCCCTTTATCATCCTTGTTGAAAATGGGGGTGTCTGTTGTAGCATTCATGGCAGTGTGGGGTCATTCAACTTGCTGCTAGAGTGGCCACTGCAAAAGGTAGTTGGTTAGAGGGTGTTTTTGCACTGATTTCACGTAAAAGCTAACCTGTCTTTATTCTGCCAATAGCTGGGGCTATTGTGCATCTTAGAGAGGCACTTGGTCATCTTTGAAAATGTCAGGAAATGATTCTAAGTTCTGGCAACCTACCACAAATATAAGCAAGACTATGTACAGTGTTCTTCTAGTGTTTATAGGATTTTTAGAGGCCTGTTTCTTCAGAACTGGATGGCCAATGCTCCTTCCTCGTCTGTCTTAATGTGGGGGCTCCTTTTTAGTACAAGGACTACAAGAGCTGTCAATGTAAAAGCAGATGATCCCATAGACTTCTCAGAGAAGAAACAGGCCTGTCTCGGAGAAAGTGAAACCAGGGTGCTCTCTGGAGGCAAGGATGTGAAATGCTAAGTCACTTATGTTGGGGGCATTGTAAGAAAGGGTCAGTCCTTGGAGAAGGACATCATGCTTGAGAAGTGAAGGGTCAGCATGAGAGGAAGCTCTATAACATGATAGATTGACAGGGCATTCGTAACAATGGACTCAAGTGTCTGGGAGATGGTGAGGCGGCACAGGCTAGGGCAGAGACCAGATCCACTGTTCTTAGGGCGGCTGTGAGTCACAACTGGCCACAGGCATGCAATGACCTCGCTACCACCACCACCACCACAACAACAACAACATGCACAGACATACCATGAAGACACACTAGCTCTTGGACTCAACATGCACTAGGGATGCTCGCGAGGTCCATGCATAGTTCAAGGCATTCAACAAAACAACTCAACTCATTGCCATCAGCTTGGAACTGACTCGGAGCTGACCCTACAGGGAGTTTTGAGAGACTGTAAATCATATGAGAGAAAATTGTTCATCTTTCTCCCTTAGAGAAACTAATGAATTTGAACTGCCTGCCTTTGGGCTGGCAGCACAACCCTTAACCCATTAGGTCATCAGAATTAAGGCATAAATACACATAAAACAATATCCTTGTTTAAGAGAGTACATAATATATATAACAATATACCTCATGGAGAACTGTGTTTGCATAATATTTGAGATGCTGAACAGAAAACACATCATGGTACTACTTCTGTGAGTGTTTCTATAACTGTAATCCTTGAGTTGACCCTAGACAAGTGGTTTGCATGAAGGAACCACCCTGTGGTGTGGTGTGGTGTGGTGTGCTGTGCTGTGCTGTGGTGTGCTGTGGTGTGCTGTGGTGTGATATGTAGCTTTTGCTGCTATAGTCAGAATCACCAGGGTTATCTGGAAGACTGAAGCACCCACCTCCAGTGTCTGGGTTTTGGAAGGGTCTGAGATGTGTGGTCCTAACAGCCGATGTTGATGTCATCTGGGGAACACACTTGAGGCCCAGCATCCCAGATCGACCAGCCTCAGAACAAAGACAGTCTTCACTCCCCTCTTGTCCACAGCTGCCATTTCCTTTGACTCGCTCAGAAGCTTTTCTCTGTTTCTCTAGAGTCGGGTGTGGGGACCAAAATGTGTCACCTCTCAAATCTCTTGGGGCAGAACAGGCGCCTGTTCTCTTTGCTTCCATTACCTGCACTCTCGCATTTCTACTACTGTCACACCTGCCATGATGCTTTTCACACCATGCAGATAAAAGAACTCTACAATTTTCTACTTTTCTTTCTTTTTCTTATCCTGTTTATGCATCTCTGTCCCAGTGCACCAATGATTCTCAGTGGAGAGCAACAATCTCAGGGTGGAGGGGTGTGTGTGTGTGTGTGTGTGTGTGTGTGTTAGAGAGAGAGAGGCAGTAAAAAAAAAATCCATTTTAAAATTATTACTTGATATGCATTCTATCTGTAGAATAAAAAGATGATAATGGTTTCATGCTACAAACTGAAAAGTAAGCTTACCTTTCTCTTGACTCATTTTAATAAAATGTCTATTATCTATTTAGGGAGCTCTGGCAAGAAGTTGCACGCAATCCTGAATGTGCTTGGTGCAAAGTCATGCCACCAGCTGTTCCATGGGAGTGATTAATTGCCTCTGAAATCCTGTTGGAGGGTCAGCTATGAGTTGAAAATGACTCGACAGTACACAACAACATTATCTGTTTACTAATTTTTAGTAAAAAAAAAAATCCTAAAAGAGGGACAGGGGATGAGAGACTCCCTGGTCTCTTCTTCCCTCTCCCTAGTTAGCCATCCAAGAATGATTCTGCCTGTGAATAAGCCTTTCTTTTAAAATTATTTGTTATTGGTTTGTATACAATAATTAATATTTATTGTTTTATATAACTAATTCATCTGGCTCTGAACATCCAGAACACACTAGGAAGGATTGGCCATCAACTTCTGAAATAGCAGGCCTCTGAAAACCCTATGTACACTGGGGTAATCAGGATGGGTGTGTGGGAGACAGTGAGATCGGCACAGGATAGAGCAAAGTTTAGGGCTGTTGTACATAGGGTCGCTAGGTCACAAGTGACTCGACG